GTTTTTTGTTTGTTTTCCTTCCTTGTTTATCTCATGTTTTTTTTTTCTTGATATGTGAGTTGTCTTTTTTTTTTCTTCGTATTTGCCTGTTTATTATCGTTTTTTTTTTGTTATTTTGTATGTTTTCCTTACTGATATATGGTTTGATTGCTTTTTGTTGTTTTTGTTATGCTTTTCTTGTTTTATTTATCTGTTGTCATCCTCCCTTCAACCCCCACCCCTCCCACCCTCTCCCTGCCCCGTCCCCCTCCCCCCCCCCCTTCCGCCCTCTCCCTGCCCCTCCCCTCCCTCCCCTCCCCCTTCCCCCCTCGTTCCTCCCGGTACGAGACAAGCGAACCGGTACATTTGCTCAGGTGGTCCAGGTGAGGAGCCAGGTGAGGAGGGCGCCTTGGCTCGTTACCTGTGTTTGTGAGGCGAGGTTGGCTTTCCAAGTTTGCTTTTCGTTCATGTTTTTTTGGGGGGGTCTTGATTTTGTTATTTTTTGTTTTTTTATTTTTAAAAAATCTGTTGGTTATTTGTTATTTTTGTTATGGGAGGTCTTGATTTTTTATTTTTATTTATTTTTTTATTTTTTTTATCTGTTGGTTATTTGTTTATTTTTTGTTTTTTATTCTTTTTTTATCTGTTGGTTGTTTGTTATTTTTTGTTCTACTTTTTATGCTATTGCTGTGTTGCTGTTTTGGTCTTGATTTTTTTTCTTTTGTATCTATTGTTATTTTTTTTTTCCTTGATTTTTTTTTCTCTTTTTCGCCTATTGCTTTAGTTTTTGTTATTATTGTGATTGTGTGTATCTCTTTCTCTTATTGGTTTGTTGTTTTGCTTTTTTTCGTCGAATGTTATAGTGTTTAAATTTTTTATTGATATATGGCTTGTTTTTTTGTTTTTTCCTGTTGTTTTCTTGTTTCATTTTCGTTTGAACGTGTTTTTTCTTTTCGGATGTGTTATTGATTGTTTGTTTGTTTTTGGTTGGTTTGTTCGTTGTTTTTTTCATTGTTTTGGGGTGGCTTATTGAATTTGTTTTTCCTTCCTTTTTTCTTTTTTTTATTTTGTGTTGTTTTTTGTTTGTTTCCTTCCTTGTTTATCTCATGTTTGATTTTCTTGATATGTGAGTTGTCTTTGTTTTTTTTTCTTCGTATTTGCCTGTTTATTATCGTTTTTTTTGTTATTTTGTATGTTTTCCTACTGATATATGGTGTTGATTGCTTTTTGTTTGTTTTTGTTATGCTTTTCTTGTTTATTTATCTGGTTGTCATCCTCCCTTCATACCCCCACCCCCTCCCACCCCTCTCCCTGCCCCGTCGCCCCCCCCTCCCCCCTTCCGCCCTCCCTGCCCCTCCCCCTCCCCTCCCCGCCCTTCCCCCTCGTTCCTCCCGGTACGAGACAAGCGAACCGGTACATTTGCTCAGAGTGGTCCAGGTGAGGAGGCCGCAGGTGAGAAGGGCGCCTTGGTCTGTGTGAAGCGAGGTTGGCTTTCCAAGTTTGCTTTCGTTTATGTTTTTTTTTTTTTTGTGTTATGTCTTGTTTATTGTTTATTTGTTTTTTTATTTTTATTTTTTTAAGATCTGTTGGTTATATGTTATTTTTGTTTTTTATTTTTTAGAATCTGTTGTTTGTTTGTTATTTTTTTGTTCTACTTTTTATCTATTGCTTGTTGCTTTTTTGTCTTATTTTTTTTTTTTATCTATTGGTATTGTTTTGTTGATGTTTTTTCTCTTATTGTTTTTTATTTATTGTTGATTGTTGTATTTTGTTTCCTCTGGGTGTTTTCTGTTGTTTTTCTTGTTATTTTGTTGATTTGCGGTTTGTCGTTTGGTGCTGCGGTGAGGTTGTTTGATTGTTTAATTGATTTATATGGGCTTG